CTTTATTGGTTCATCCAGAAGCCTCCTGTACGGCGATGTTCCTCTACGAGGTCTACAAGTAAACACCGCCTTCATACGTCTATTCTGGCGCTAGGTATCCCATTGGTACTTTTAGCGCTCACGCATTCGTGTGGCTCCGCGTTCATCGCATAGGGCCACGTTCATTGCTTACGTAGCCGTCCTGCATTACCGTGGGACTTGGACTGCATAGTAGTTACGAATACGGTAGTGACTTCACACGCTCCTGTCATATATATACAGTCGCTACCATGAATATCATCTAAGTCTTCTCTTTCCACCGAACGACTACCATCGTCAGCCTACCAGCTACCAAGCTACCTACTCAACCTCCAACACTAACTGCCCGGTGAGTTCGCGCTTTCATAGACTTCCCAGCTATACTCGCGATCGTCCTTTGTCAGGTTATGAGCCCCGCGGGGCGCGGCGGAGCCTAGTACCTCAAGGCGGCTTAGTATGCCATGGGGGGGATTAAACCCGCGACGGTTCATCCGAAGCGGTTTCCCCCTTCGCCCACTGGTTAACACCAGGGCGGCAGGAATCAAGGGGACACCCTCCTGTCATGTGTGAAGGGCCTTTCCCACATCCGTGAGAACCCATGCACCTTAACCGGTTCGGGTCTCGAGCGGCTCTGGAGGTCTAGACCGCTAGTCTACCGCGGACTCGCCTGGGCATGATGTAATCCGTCTAGTGTACCCACGCTGACGTTATCTTAACCCCAGATTCATCAACATGTCTACTTCTCATCAAACCGCTGCCCAGATCGCTGTCGGCATCTTTGCCGGCACCGACTTCGTGCTTTGGAAGCCCCGCATGGAGAACCACATCCGCGCCTCTGGCGCGGGTAGAGCGCTGCGCATGCCCCGCGCAGTCATGCTAGCCACCAATCCCTCTGAGGCCGAGATCAACAAGTGGGAGGACGCCAACGACACCGCGATCGGCAAGATCAGGGAGTGTGTCAGCCACGACATGAACCAGTTCATCTTGAACAACGACACGGCACTCCAGATGTTCGCCACTCTGGAGGTGCGCTCAGGCGCACAAGGGATCTCAGCGGCGGTCAACGAAATCAAGACCGCCCTCAACACCCAGATCCCGGCCGACACCGACCCCAACCCTGCTCTCGCCAAAATCATGGCGGCATTCTCACGCTTCGCAGGACTGGGTGGGGTCATCACCGACTCCACTCGGGCCGTCATTCTTTTCTCGAAAATACCGGCTGGCTACGAGCCGCTCAAACACCAAATCAACAACTCCACGCAGCTCCTCACCAATTTGGCGACGAGCGACATCATCAATGGCATGCAAGCATCCTGGGAACTGCGGTCATCCGGACAGAAAAAGAAGAAGGTACCTCAGGTGAAGGAGGAGCAGGCCAACAAGGCCAGCTCCAGTACCAAGCAGTACAACGGCCAGTCGTCATCCGACGGCAAGAAGAAGCGTCCTTCCAAGAAGGAGCGCAAGGAGCACCAGGCGCAGCAGCAACAGCAGCAGCAACAGAAGCCGGCGGCCGCTAACGCGGCTTCGTCGTCGGCTCCTGCCAACGCGACGCCATCTCCGGCGCCGCAGAGTGCCGCACCCGCCGCTGCCAACTACTCGGCAACATTTAACACGCCGGCTCCCGTCTACCACGTCGCGCACGTCGCTTCCGGGCCGTCTGGCCCCTCATACTCTCCACCGGTTTTCTCCGAACCGACCCCCGATCCGCGCAAGCGGTCCCACCAACCCGCGACGGCCTATCAAGGCCGCAGCAGCGCTCCGGCGCCCCCTCACGGA